GAAAAGTACGCCTCATGGGAACCGGTACCTTTCCATCGCGTATATATGAGCGGATGATCGAATAAATTATTAAAATTGGAACATTTTGTAAAACCACTCTTAGGCTTATTCGACACGTTTTTGCATGAAACAAAAGAATCTGGTAAAAAAAAACGTTCTGCCTTGTGATCTAAGATATTAAGCGTTAAAGTTGATGACTATTGAGGTTAGGAAATCTGTCACAGAGGCAAAATGAGGTCTATAATTGTACTGTTCCACATGGGTTTCGACTTTTCACGCGATGCAAAGGGGCGCACGACTTTTATAATTGTACTGTTGCAAAATCGAAACCCTTGTGCATTTTTTCAAACAGAATAAGCTAAAATGAGCCAGAAATTAGATTCGACGCATAGTGGTTCTATCATGTTTCGGCGTAACAACAAAATAGCGTAAAAAGCATAAAGTGACTAGATAGAAACTGATGTTCAAGTGAAATGATATAATTTGGTCGGCGCAAGTTACGCTTACGCAAGTTACGCCGCATGTGACGGCACCCTTAACCCCGGATCTACAATAGGGTTTTAAGCCTTAAACCATAAGAAATGGGCGAATCACAGTCGCTTATTCTACCTCGGATTTGACTGTGTAACCCCGGATCTATAATACATGTTTTAAGCCTTAAGCCGTAAGATATCAACCAATTGCGGTCGAATTCGAGGAGAATAATCGACTATGATTCGTCCATTTCTTATGGCTTAAGGCTTAAAACTCTATTGTAGATCCGGGTTAATTGGTTAATTTCTTACGGCTTAAGGCTTAAAACACCTATTGTAGGTTAGGAAATGCTTAAATGTAAGTAGATTGACAATAAAAACATACAGATATATTGCCTTATATACATTTTTTATATCCACTTATTAAATATATACATATATATATATATATATATAATATATCCATATAATTCTTTAGTAAGATCTAAAACTGCAAATAACATAAATTAATATATAATATAAAAAAATTAATACTTCTCTCTTAAAACTTGACCCAGGTATAATTATAATATATTATCTGTTTCTCAACAATACGTGTTAATAAGAAAATATTAAGAAAAGATTACGACAAAATTGGTTGTAGTATAGAATAATACGTATTGTTCTCAATTTATAATTTTGGGACTCTATTCTTGAAAAGCAACGTATACGAAAGTCTAGGGAAATGCTACAGTACATGTTACGTATACTATAGTATTTCCCTAGACTTTCGTATACGTTTCTTTTCAA